ATCTTATGTGCCTTAATAATTTGTTGAGTAAATTCCTCCTTTTGTTGTTGTTGAAGATGAAAAACCCACCCCCTGACCGAACCACTCTTTGGTGGGCTCTCAGGAAGAGGGGAGTTCGGGCACCAGACTGCCCAGTGGGTGCATCCCTGGTGAGCTCCATGATGGCCAGCCCTACTCTGGTGGCCAGCTTCTGGGGGTACAAGGACACTTCCTGGTCCCAGGGCTGCAAGCCTTTGTCACTGTGGGAATTGCCCTTTTTCTATCACAAAAGGGCAATTTCCACCTCAAGGTTCCACTTAACTTCATACAGGGAATGGATGACTGTTCAACTGAGGGAAGACGGCTTCAACTCCGTTATGGGTTTCCTTCCTGTCCTCTTTGTCTGGGTGAAGGATCACAGTCCTAAGGCCTCCAAGCATCATAGCATGAGGAAAGCACCTGGTGATCACCAGTTCTGAACCCTGGCTCCCTTTCAAGGCATGCCCCTGTGTCCCCCAAGCCTGCTTTCTGCTTCAGGGAGAAGGACAACTCTGAACATCTCACCTCCAACTGGCCACCACTCAGTGCCCAGTGTCCCACTGAGTGCTTCATCCTCCCCCTCTACCCACTCAACAGGGGGCGGTTCAGGGACCTCCACACCCTTGCTGGCAAGGATCTTCCAGTTCTGGGAGGACCAAACTGGCTCATCATCATTTCCCCTGGGTCTGCTGGCTGGGGCAGGAGGGTGACCCCAACCCAACCCAATTATTGAGGATTTAGGCTGAAATCCAACAATGTAGAGAGCTTTATCTCTCACAGCTCTTATCTCTGGCGCGAATCTCAGAAGCTTACTTTGGAACTCCTAAAGCCCCGCTTCATTATCCCTTCCTGAAGTGTAAGCCTGGAATGCTTCACAGTCCGTGGTTATTTCTAATGGGGAAAAGGGCCAAGGGGTAAAATAAATTAGAGGGTATGAAACACCTTAATTCATGTACTTATCTCTCACTTAATTTAACAACTTCGGCTTATTTCTAAAAATTCTGCCCTTAAGAGAAGAAGCAACAGATTAAAAAGAAAAAGTTTTCATTAATTTCAGTGAGATTAATGATGATGTGTACAAGCTTAACCCAAAAGACTCAAAACAACTTTCACAAAGAGGGAAAAAAAACACAGTTGAACAACAAATGTAAGCTTATGTAAATAGTGAACAGCAATGCCAACGTAGGTGCATCCAGTTTGCACATAAAATACGACAGATAAATGTACACATTTTTCTTCTTTCTGACTCACATTCTTTACCAATTTGAAAATCTTTTCAAACTCATGGTTATATTGCATTCAAAATGTGGTAAAAGCAAAGTGATAGTGCAAAAAAACACTTTTAGGGGGTCATAAACTGTCAACACAAGAGCAGCCTCCACACCAGTGGACACAGGAAAGCGAGCCATGAACCCAACAGCCTTCCAGGAGGGTCATCTTCACCTCCCACACCGATAAGCAGAGCAGTGGTCCCCGACATGAGAAGGAAGGTATCTCCAGCATGTCTGTGTTAGGTAGCCCCAGCCGGAGAACACGGTGCTCCCCAGAACACTTGTTTCTTCTCTGGAAACTCAAAGCCTTCATGTCATCTTCCACGTGAGAACCCATCCAGCACCTGTTCACCAGCTTTTCATGTTCTGGGCGAAAGCATCCATGCCCACCCCACAAAGACAAGCATTTGCTTCCTGAACAAGACAGCCTTTGATTGTCTGGATGAAGCTTTCTCGTTGCAGTTAGTCCATAAAACAGTGCGCTTACGCAACCAGAGTGACCTTCCTTCAGGACCTTCTCCACTGTTGTGAAAGGCATTCTTGATTTCTCTTGGGATGTCAAGTAAACTGGTAAGGATTTCTATCTGAGAACATACCATGAGATGTTACTTTTCATAGCACACCTATTTTCTGTGTTTTCTGTTGAAGGCATCACTACATAAGGGTCGTTATCCAGAGACCCTGTTGGGAAATGGTGTTACCCAAACACTCCTTGTGCCAGAGAAGTGTATATCCCGATGCTCAGGGTTGCACTGGAAAAGTGGTCTTTCTCTATAGCCCAGTTCTTCCTGCTCTAAAACATACCCTTGCCATTCTACTTAAGTAAAGCAAAGACCTAGTCTGACCATCTTACCCACTTATACCATCGTATTACAGTGTAAAAATTGTGTTGAGATACAAGTGAGGATAATTCAAATAAATTAATTGAAGTCATTGCTGTTGCCTGAGTATAGAAACCAGTATTTCGTGAAGTCAGTCTTCAGACCACACCTTCATGGTCAGGAGATGTCTTTGCAAGGACCACTGCTGGAGACGTCCACTCACGTGTGGAGGGTGTGGCACCATTAGACACACCACGTGCTCACAGGAGGGTTCTCGTACTACATACGTGGTCTTCTTGTCCAGGCAGCATCGGACAGCTTGGAAGACACACTGTGCTTTATGCTGAGATGAACATATCACCTAGCTACTTTGCCCTAAACTAGTTCTAATAGTACACATCTGAGTGAATGAAGTATCCATAGGTATGGGACAAACACAGTTTGATAATGCTAGCTAGAAAAGCCTTAGACCCCTGGCTGCATTTCGACCGTTCATAACTGTTTTCCTAGGAAAGGTCCTTCAGGCTCTCCAGTGATGCCAATAGGCAGCTCAGCCCAAAATGAATAGCTTTGGGTGTTTGGCTCTGGCTCAGTGTGAAGGAAATTGCCCCCACATGAGGGATAGGAAGCAGAAGTGTGAGCAGTTGAAATCAGTCAGCATCAGCCTTCTCAAACTCCCTTCTCCAGACTAAACAGCCAAGTGTGCCCTTAGTTGTGACGTGGGTGGGATTCTGCACCAGAGCTCTGGTCCAAGCCTTCCAAAGAGGGTCTGGATTGCTGGGCCCTCTCTTGAAGCACCTGCCCAATGCCTGGGGTTTAACCACAGTTCAGCTGCTGTCAGCATCCTTGTCCAGGTGCAGAAGGTCATTCTCATTCCTGAACACAAACCTCCCAGAAACAGAGGCAGCAAGTCACGCTGTGAGAAGCTTCATGTTAGGAACTCCTTTGCTAACATCCTGTGAGTCATGTTCTCCTCTCTTCACATGTAAAGAGGCTAACACAGTGGACAGCAAGTGACTTACCGTGGAGAGAGGGTCTCAGAGCAAGGATGGGACATTGCAGCCCCTCTTGACGGTGTTCCACCTACATGGCAGCAATTACAGGGATAAATCCACTTGTGGTGGACTAGCTAATCAAGGAATAAAGACCCGCCAACATAATGAAGAACTTGGGCATTTCCAAGAAATTGGATTGACTTGTCATAATACAGAGGTTGGCATTTATGCAGTGACTGTTCCAAAAACTTGAAAATGAGCCACAGAGACACACGTGGTGTCACTCAGCACAGAGCATCCTGGGGAGGGGAGGAGGAGGAGGCTGCTATGGTCACTGCTTTGTGTATATGGGGTGGCATTGAGACAACTTCACTAGGAACTTACACATTGACTCAGTCAAAACTGACTGGATCCTGTGAGCAAAATACACACTCTTTAACATGAAATATCTGATTATGTCATTGCAAATAAACTATTTTTTAAGATTTATTTGTTCATTTAAGAGGGAGAGAGAGCAAGCAGGAGGAGGGGCAAAGAGAGAGAGGAAGAGAGAGATAGATGGACTCCCCACTGAGTGGGGATCCTGACATGTGGCTGGATCCCGGGACCTTGAGGTCAGGACCTGAGGCGAATGAAAGAGCTGGATGGTTAACCAATGGAGCCACCCACGTGCCCCACAAACAACTTTAAATCATGTAATGCATTTTAAAAAGCCCAATGTCATATTATACTGGAAATGTGGTTGGTAATGGTGGTCAACGGAGTTTCCAGAGATGTACCTTGTTGAGGATGGAATGCAACTAGGTCCTGTATGATGGTAAGTCTTGAGCATCCTAATTCCAGTGACCTGTAATGAGATCAGAAAACAGAGGATAGGATCATAAGTGCTGTTGTTGGAAAGTTCTGGAGGCTTGGAATACGCTGGGCTGTTGGGATCTGTTCTAGGAATAGGAGACATAGGTGAAGAGAAGAAAATACGAAATCGTTTTCTGCTGACTCATCAAACTGGAAATTTTAATGACACAAGGGGATTATCGTGGATTATTCAGAGGGGCCCAGTCTAGGCCCTAAAGGTGCCATAACAAAGCACAACCTCCTGGGTGACTTTAAGAACAGGAATACTTTCTCTCGTAGCCCTGGAGACCATGAGTCCGAGATCAAGGGGTTCACAGGCTGGATCCTCTGAGGCTCGGAAGGACCTCTTACAGGCTTCTAGCTAGCCATCGTTGGCATTCTGGTGGCTGCTGGCCATCCTTGGCATTCTTTGGCTTGTTGAGGCCCTCCTCCAATCTCTGACTTCATGTTCACGTGGCATTCTGCTTGTGCATCTGTGTCTGTGTCCAAATGCCCTTTTCTTGTAAGGACTCTCATTGTATTGAATCAGAGCCTGCCCTATGACCTCCATCTTAACTCAAACATCTGCAGAAGTCCTATTTTCACATAAGGTCTCATCCATAGGTAATGGGGTTCAAAAACTTTTGTGGAAGATGGGACACACTTCAACCCATTACAAGCCCCTAAAGCAGAGGACTTTCTCTGGCTGGCATCACAGAGCTGTGGTAGAGGGGAGGTGAGAGGGCCAAAGTCCAATGCGGGCCTGATGCACGTTAGTCCTAAAGACAGAGGACGCGGACAAGAAATGCTAGGGAGTGGCAGGTGCTGAGGGTGACTACCTCCTTCATGGTAACTTGCCACAAAGCAAGTTAGTGTCAACCTTCCTTAGTGCAACAAATTAAAAGGTCCACTAGAGGTTAAAGGCTTGGGGAGTGCCGAGGAGTCTGCTGGAACCAGAACTTGAACTTCTGCTCAGCCCCTGTCCTCCCTTGTACTTCCTCCTCGGCCAGAGCCCTAGCAACACGCCTGACCCGGAGTCCTCAGTGGAGTGGCTGTGTTTGATGGATGACCTCTAGGAAAAAAGTGTTGCTGAAGGTTATCATCCTGGGAGATTCTGGAGTTGGTAAGACATCACTCAAGAACCACTATGTGAAAAAGAAATTCAGTAATCGGTACAAAGCTACCACAGGAGCAGACTTTCTGACAAAGGAGGTGATGGTGGATGACAGACTAGTTACGAAGCAGATCTGGGACACAGCAGGCCAGGAGTGGCTCCAGCCCCTCAGTGTGGCCTTCTACAGAGGCGCAGACTGCTGCCTTCTGGAGTTTGATGTTACTGCCCCCAACACCTTCAAAACTCTCCACAGCTAGAGAGATGAATTCTCATCCAGGCCAGTCCCCAGGATCCCGGAAACTTCCCCTTCATTGTGTTGGAAAACAAGACTGACCTTGTAAACAGACAAGTGGCCACAAAGCGGCCACAGGCCTGGTGCTACAGCAAAAACAACCTTCCCTACTTCAAGACCAGTGCCAAGGAGGCTATCAGCGTGGAGCTGGCATTCCAGACAATTGCACGGAATGCACTTACACAGGAAACAGAGGTAGAGCTGTACAGTGAATTCCCCGAGCCCATCAGACTGGACAAGAATGGCCAGGCCAAGGCCTCAGTGGAGAGCTGCAGGTGCTGAAGGGGCCATGAGAGCAGGGCAGAGTCCTCCGGCAAACAGAGAACACACTTAGGCCTTCCAACACAAGCCCCTCTCCTCTTCCAAACAAAACATAAAGTCATCTCTCGAATCCGGATGCCTAAAGAAGCCCCGTCAAGCACACCCTTACACACACACACAGCCCTGACACAAGCCGACAGACCCAGCCCAGGCCTGTGATGCGTCCATCGGGGTCTGCCCACCCACCCCAGCAGCCCTCGTATGGCAGCGGGACAGGCCAGCCGTAGAAATCGTTCTGGTGTGCCTTCAGCATTGGAAGATTATTTTCGTCCACTGGGGAGAGGGAACTGTTTACAGTTAATCTGTGTCTAATCAGTTATCTGATTTTTTAAATGGTCTTGTGGTCTCTTTACCCCCTATCCCACCCCCGCCCCTGTGAAGGCTGCCACCTGGGAAGGCTGGTGCCCCATGCTTCATTACAGGCTCACACCCAGCCTGGTCAGACTGAGTTTTATATGTGTCTGTTAACGCTTGTTACTTTACTGATCAGATTTTCTATAGTACCCGTTTATTATGTAATCCTTCTTAGAAAAGAATCTTATGGTACATTAATATATGCAACCAATTAAAAATGTATAAATTAGTGTTAAAAAAAAAGGTCCACTAGACTTAAGGCCACAGTATGCCACACCAAGTCAGCCTTGTTGTTAATTATGTGGACAGCTACATTTATTGAGCACCTACTGTGTACCAGGAATTAAGCTCAGAGTTTGTTTCACATTATTTGATTTAATCCTTTGAGAACATGGTCCTCCCTCTAAGAGCTACACCACTTCCTCTTTCTGTGCAAATACTGGAACCAGACATAAATCACTCAGCTGTTTATGCTAGGAAATACCTGCTCCAGGAAGATATGACCATTAACCAATTAAAGTAGCTTACTTATCAAGTCTGATCAAGACATTTGCTCTTCAAGACCCTCCCATTGCTGAATGGATCAACCCCAGACTATCAGTTGCTGCCTTCCAGTTCTTTAGTGTCTCAAGAGAGGGTGATGGCAGATAACTCCCTCACTGACAGGTGACGCCATGGCCCCATTTCACAGAGCTGGAAACTGAGGCAAAGAGAAGAAAGTTGCTCACAAAGGCAGAGCCTCCCTTCTCCCCGAACTTGTACATTGGTTTCTGTAACTGGGTTCTTGTTATTCTGAGTCCCTCTCCAATGTGTGGGTTTCAGTGTGGATTCGCATGCCTGGCTCTCTCCTGCAGACCTCAACGGCTGTCCCAGGACTTGAGTCTCCCTCTGAAGCCCGGCAAGACTGGCCAAGGACCACAACCTCTGGGCCTGCAGCCTGCCTGCAAAGCGATTGCCCTGACTCCTCACCACATTTGCTGGGACTGATCCCTTCACCTTGTCCCTGCTCTGGGGTCTGTCTGCACCCAGCTGATAGCCTTTCCCAGCTTGACCAGTCCTGCCCCAGACCAAACCTTGGTCTTGATATTCTTCATCTCAAGTGAATCCGTATTTAAAACACTTGAAAATATTCGCTTTCTGGGTCTCTGAATCAGATTACCCTGTGCCATCAATGACAAGAAAGTTCAAATTGTTTATATATCCTTAAGTAGTTCAGGATGATTTCTGTCCTGTGCTTATTTTGACCAGTGGTTCACTTTTGTGTTGCTGCTAAACAAATCACCACAAAGTCAGCAGCTTTAAATAACATGTTTATTATCTCTCAGTTTCTGGGGATCAGGAGTCAGGGCATGAGTTAGGGGGTCCTCTGCTCAGGGGCCCCCCAGTGCATCACCCAGGATGGGCTCCCATGAGAGGCTCGACTGGGGAAGGTCTGCTTCTGAAGTCCCCAGTCTGTTGGTAAAATTCATTTCCTTGAAGCTATAGGATTGTCCTGACTGTGTTTTCTACAAATATATTTGTCCACTGGGCATTCATTCCTCACAGGGCCAACTATGTTAACTCTATTTTCCTTCTTTCCTTTTGGGGGGCTGGACTTATTTATTTATTTGAGAGAGAGAGCACAAGCAGGAGGGGCCGAGGGAGAGGGAGAACCTCCAGTGTTCTCTGCATTGAACGGGGAGCCTGATGTGGGGCTCAATCCCACGACCTTGTGATCATGACCTGAGCTGAAACTGAGTCAGATTTTCAACTGACTGAGCCACTGTGGCTCCCTGTAACTATATTATCTATATTCTTGGTACTCTGGAGCCCTTCCAGGTCTCGGCAGGGACGGCCTCACCCAGTGCTGATTCCTGGACATAATAACTTGCCCAGGAGCACACCTTTCATTTGCAAACCAACCCATCCCAGGCCAGTAGCCCCAGCTGCCTCCCTACCTGAGTGTCACAAAAGAAGCTAGAGTTTCCCCATCCTAACTCAACCAGGGACAGGTATCCGGCAAAGGAAGACACTGGGTGACAGCACCAAGGCACACCAAAACTGTTCACACTAGCCTAAGCTGTTCATTTCTCGGTTGGGAGACCCCAAGAGAGGCTCTGGCCTGAGCCTGCCTCCTTCCCGCTTCCATCCCTGAGCTCTGTGTGGCCTGTGGGGTATAACAGGGCCTGCCCTCTTCCCTCAGAATCTTCCCTCAGAATAATGGGAGATGTCTTCCAACGGCCTCAGCCTCTCCACATCATCAGCGGGTCATACCTCCGTAAATCAAATCTCAGGTAGAGTTTAGAAAAAGGACTTGCAGCCGCTTGCTTCTTCCAAGACAGCACCAGGGAGACAAAGGCTCCAGAGTGAGCACGTTGGAGTCCCATGCAGAGCGGTGCTGCCCCGAGCGACCCCCCGCCCTGGCTTCTGCGGCTTAGAAGCGAGTCACAGGTCCTGCCCCCACTCGCGGGGAGGGTGCACTCGGCTCGAGGGACCACCTTAATGGTTGCCTGCCCTCACTCAAGTGTTCCCAGAAAGACCACAGGAACTGAGGTGAAGGGAAGGCGTAGTGATGTATACATTTTACCAGCCAGCACTTTCACCTCTTAATGACCGTGGCTCGGTAAATATGAGCTCTGCTATATTGCATAATCCTCGTTTGCTAGAAATCCACGGGAGCTGCGTGAGGGTGCAGGGTGGCGTGCCGAACCGGCTGGCGCACCCCACTCAGTGGGTCTTCACTGTGATCGAGCAGATTAACTGTCTGATTCAGCAGAAAATTCGTGTTGTGTCAACAGGTCATGATGTATATGGCTCAACTGGTGATCTATTTCTTTTTAGTTGGTGTTTGTTTTTCCTATGAATGATTTATCTGTGCTAGAATGAACTGTGTCAACTACTGCACGTGGCAGATTAATTTCAGTGTGTTCTGCAAACAGTTCCTTGGTAATATACCTTATTCCATCTTTATTTGCTCTCACTGGCAACATCATATCCTTTCTTTATTTGAATTAAATAGCTTTTTCAAAGTAGGCTATTCTCCTTGGGGATGGGGAATGCATAACACATGAAAAGGTAGCTTTTGTTTAAAAAAAAACGACAAAACTTTTTTTATTAACTCCTGCGTGAGAGTGCTTAACACATTAAACATTTTCTCCAAATATTCCAAGATATGCTGTCATTTAATTCCATAAAGCTGGAACGTATCTTTTTCTGTAGTTACAATAAAGATACCATATTGGAACACTAACAGAGTTTTATAAAGTATTTAAAAATAACCTCATAACACAGCATGTGGCTTAATGAAGTCTGGGGTGGGTCAGTATGACTATTCACATTTCAGAGAGGCAAATGGGGTTTCCCAGATGGGGGAACAGCCATGGAAAGAGATGCCAGGTGGGCTTGTCCGAGCACTGGTTCTCTTCCATTGGAGAGAAACTCTCTGGCTTGTCTCCCAACGCTAGCATGTGTTTTCCAGATCCTTACTCCAAAATCCACAATCATACTGGGGCTCAATCCAGAACCATCAGTGCATACCAGGGTAGTCCCTGGTCTGGAACCATCACTGTGCACCAGGATAGCATCTGGTCTACAACAATCACTATAGTGGTTGTTGTGTCTGTGATCTCTCAGAGGAGGCTAGTGTCTGGTCTGGAACCATCACTGTACATGAGGACAGTGTCTGGTCTGGAACCATTTCTGTACACCAGGTTAGCGTCTGGTCTGCAATCATCGCTGTACACCAGGTTAGCGTCTGGTCTGCAACCATCACTGTATACCAAGCTAGTGTCTGATCTGGTTGCATTTATGAAACATTAAAGGGGTTTTAAACTGTTTAAAAATAGCCTTGAGTGTAGTCACCTCACTTTACCACTGATAGGCTGACAAATGTAATGTAATGTCACGTAATGTAACATAACATAAGTAACAATAGAATAGTGCTGGACCCAGACTATGACTCTACACAAGACAGTACCTGGTCCAGACCATCACTGTATACAGGGTAATGCCTGGTGTGGAACTCTAGTGATACTAGGCTAGTGTATATGTGTCTGTGTATGTAATTTTGTACTATAATATGCGTACATGAAATGTTCAACTTTAGATGTATCATTTAATCAGTTTTTGTAAATGTATTTCAAGACACAGAACATATCTATCACTCCAGAAAGTCCTTCCCTGCCCCCTCCTGGTCAATGCCCTTCCCCTGGAAATAATCACTACCCAGCATTAACCACCATATGCTAATTTTGCTTAGTCTAGAGAATTTAATGTTGGGGGAGTCGTGGAGCACTGACCTTTCTATGTCCAGGTTCCTTCACTGGGCCACCGGGTCTGACGCCTGTCCGTGCTGTTGCACATATCAATATTGTGTTCTTTTGGATTCTGAACCATCTTCTGTTGTGTGAATACAGCACAGGTGATGTACCCACCCTCCAGGAAATGTTCTTTCTGGCTTCGATTGTCGTGGATACCATAGCATGGATTCTTGCACAAGACTTTTTGTAGATGTAATTTCATTTATCTTAGACCAATCCTTAGAAGTAGAACTGCTGGAGGGATGGCTGGGTGGCTCAGTCAGTTAAGCATCTGACTCCTGGTTTCAGCTCAGGTCAGGATTTCACGGC